TATCTCGCCAAGCTGAGTCGATCTAGCTACGTATGCCGCTCCGTCCGTCTGTTCGTCTATTCATGTTAATTTGTAATCAACCTACTGGTCGCAATTATGGCCCGATCCTCAAGAAATTGAAAATGGAATTGGGGTTAGGGTCAGAGTAGAACCCTATTGTTTTTGGAGATGATTGCAAAATATTTAGGGATTGAAATGGACCAAACACAGAAAATTCTCTATAGCAGCTGCGGAAGTCGACGCAGAAATTTACATGGAGTTATAGTTTAGGATTGGACAAAAGCCTACCAATTTGGGTGGTCATCGGACAATATTTAGCACGTAAAATAGACCCGAACTTTTATGTAAGAAAATACGAAAATTTGCACTAAACTGCGAATAGTTTTAGTCCCAGCCAAAATCACAAATATATTAAAAGGCCACTTCGGGCCATTAAAGTGATGCTGATAGCCAAGAAATCAGATACATAGCAAAATAGGTACACTATACAGGGTAAGATAAAAAACTGGAATAAAGTCAAACGCCATTTTTACATTTTTATACCCTACAACACTATGTGTTGGGGGTATTATAAGTTTGATTGGGCCAAAAATTATGTACCACCACGAAATGTTGATTTCCCACATAGGAAAGTATATATGGATCTTCCTATCTCGCCGAGCTGAGTCGATCTAGCTATGTATGTCCGTCCGTCCGTCTGTCCGTCTGTCCATGTTAATTTGTAATCACTCTACAGGTCGCAATTATGGCCCGATCTTCACGAAATTTAGAATGGAGGTGGGGCTAGGGTCAGAATAGAACCCTATTTCTTTTGGAGATGATCGCCAAATGTTTAGGGGTTGAAATGGACCAAATACTGAAAAAATGTCGGATTTTGCAGTAGCTATACAGGTCGCAATTATAGACCAATCAACGCATGTAGCTAGAGTTTAGGGCGGGGAAGAAGCATACCAACTTGGGTGGTCATCGGATTATATTTAGCGGGTAAAATAGACCATATCTATTTTGTTAAAAAAAATTCAAAATCTTTCATTAACCCGCGAATATTTTAAATCCCGGCGAAATCACAAAGCCATGACAAGGTTACTTCTGATCTTTACATTGATGTTAACATCCAACAAATCGGATATATAGCAAAATATGTGCGATATATATGTCTATCAAAGAAGATATGCTTGAAAGATCTCTTATATGTCGAGAACGGCTGAACTGATTTCAACAGTTCTCATTAATTCAGAATGGCCTCTTGGCAGGAAAGAAAAAATGTCTAAAAAACGCATAAAAATATTTCTCTAAAGATGAAAATATTGATTTTGTAACATTTTCTCATATTTTTTCAATTTTGTCATATTTTTGGCATATTTTCATTTTGAATTAAACATTTGGTAATATTTCTACAGCTAACAAAACTAAGTAGTTAGGATATCAGGATATCATATACAGATCGCATTTATGGCCCGATCCTTACGAAATTTTGCATGGGGATAAGATGAGGGTCAGAATAGAAGCCTACTCTTTTTGGAGATAATCGCCATATATTTACGGGTTGAAATGGACAAAAAAACTGCAAAATTGTCAGCAAGTCGTAATTATCGCCCGATCGCATTTGAATGGAGGTTACCGGACATTGCAAAAGCCGAATAGTTTTAGATGGCCATCCAAAAATATTCTATGTGTGAAATAGTTTGCCAACTTTTGTAGACAAAATACGAAAATATCCATTCCAGTGACTTTTTTGAGAATTCACAAATACAGGAAAGACGCACTTCTGACTATTTCGTTAAGGCTGATTTCGTTGAAGAATATAGTCAAATGTCTGTATCTCATATAGATGCGTTTCAGTCAAAAACCAATAATAAATGTTAATCTTTTGCCACTTCTGAGAGATTATAGGTCTTTGGGAAATATTGGTTCCAGATCTAGGAAGACCATTTACGTGCAACATCTACCTATAAATTGGAAATGAGCAAATTAGTTCAAGTTTCTATTATTCGAAAATTAGAACGAAACCTGATGGTTTTCTTTTATTATTTGTCACAATATCTTGTGGAATTCTTTCGAGCATCTGGCCTATATAAACTGTATCATTTATTATAGTGTTGTAGGGTATTCAACGGTCGGCCCCGCTCGACTGTAGCCTTTGCTTACTTGTTTTTTTTTTTATAAAAATCGCACTTAAAATCAATCAATTACTGACCATGCAGAAAATGCGCTATAAAAACTCATTAATAATAAATTTGAGAGAAGTGAACGTTTGCCTATCAAAAGTGGCGCACATGATATATTTTCCTTTGCACACTAATATTAAGGAAATTATACTGCGACCCGTTGCTTGTTAATTCATAATTCCTACGTATTGTAACGTAATTGAATTCTAATATTTTCGGAAGTACTTCATTGCAAGTACCACCATATATGGTATTTATATGAACCTTGCTTGCGATAATATCTTTATTCACGCTGTGTTTTCCCCCAGAAAAAAAAACAACACACAGCAAATGTTACGGTTATATCGGAAGGAAGTTTGATAAGAAAATAGCGTGATATTTATAATTTCATGTTCATGGTTTCACGAATATTAGGTGAAAATGTTAGCACGCCATGAGCGAGTGTACCTACACATACATACAGCCGTGTGTACGAGTACACAACAAATAAATGTGTTGCCAATAACGACAACAACCGTGGCTGGCGTATGAGTGTTAACAAATGTTTAAAAATAAATCATACTTCATAATGGACACTGACATGAAACGAACGAAACAAAAAACAGGCTTGTGGTGGTGATGGTGCTGGTGGGTAACTGCCTTAAATGCCATTGCTTAAAATATTATTTAGCTTATTATTAATTAAATTACTAGTATGTGTACGTGTATTTGTTTATGTGTCCTTGTAATAGTCGTGCGGTTGGGAATTGTGTGTTTTCGTGCAACAGAAGTGAATTTTGTTCGTTTAATCTTTACTACCAAGAATCAAAGTTAATTTGGATGTTCATAAATGTTGTTATTCACAGAACTTTGTAATTATGCGGAATTTCATTGTAATATCATAATTACATAGACAAACCGCAAATTATATATAACACTAGAAATTTTCTCACAGAAACTTGAACGAATGGTAAATGAAAAATAATAAAAAACAATTTACATTAATTTCACTTGAACCTTTTTTTAAATGTTCCACAAATTCCTATTAAAAACGAAATAGGCTCAAATTAAATGTTAATTAGATACAAATAAGAAAATGCCCTGATTCGCCAGAAAAGATGATATTTGAGAAAAAAAAAATAATTCTTAATTGGCCAAAATGTGTTCCTAGCCGTATTCTAGCCTGGGGGTTTCGCTCGGGCGTTGATATATATGGTGATGTGAAGAAACTGCAACCAATTTCAGACTGCTATCATTTCTAAGCCATTAGTCCGACAGCCATTTAAATTTTCCCAGTGACAGCTCATTTTATTGTTTACAAGCGTACAAAAGCATTTTGGAAAGAATTTTCCAGAAAAAAAGTCATTCGTGATGGAATTCAAGCGTGATAGTGTGATTTGTTTATATTTGGCTGGAAAGTGGCACAAGTGGCTATCGTTAGAGCACTCCAGCATTTAAATGCGAATAAATCTGTTGTATCTCGTACCATCGCTCGTTACCGTGATACTGGTAGCGTAGCCCGACGTCAAGGGAGTGGACGGAAGAAAACAGCAACATCAGCAGAAATGGTTCGAAAAGTAAAGAAGCTACTTGATCGAAACCCGCAACGCAGTGGCCGAAAAATGGCTCGTGAACTGAACGTGGCAAATATTGAAAAATGAGTTCGGGGTAAAGCCTTTGAAATTCCAAAAAGTGCAAGAACATACACCGCAACAGAAAGAGAATAGGCTCAAAAGAGCTTAAGAGTTGCTTCGCTTGGTTGAAAGTGGTGAACTGTAGAATTTGGTTTTCTCCGATGAGAAAACATTCGTTGTCCAGCAGTTTGTAAACAAACAAAATGATCGTGGTTACTTGCCAAAGAGGTCAACTGAAAATGTGCACCTTTGGTTGGCCACCAGAACTCAAGCGCCGGCCATGATGATGATGTGGGCCGCCATAACAGCCGATGGTCGCTCTCCGCTCGTATTCGACCGTGGCATCAGAATAAATGCGTAAATTATAGCGAAAATATTCTAGAAGGGGTATTAAAGTCTAGGGCACGCAAACATTTTGGCCGCAGACCTTGGACATTTCATCAGAACTTGGACACCAACGCACTCAACACGCGCCACCCAAGAATGGTTACAAAATGAGGTTCCTCGCTCCATTTTCAGCGCACAATGGCCACCGAAATCTCCAGATACCAACCCATTGGACCAATGTGTCTGGAGTATTTTGGAGGAAAGCAAGGTTGGCACTAAAAAATACCAGTGTCGATCACGTCAAGCAAACGCTTCACCGGGAATGGGCCAAAGTACCGCAGAGCAACATTCGGGGAGCGTGTGACGGTTTCATTGCCCGTTTGAAGACCAAAATTCGTGCCAAAGGTGAAAATGAGGTTCCACGCTCCATTTCCTGCGCACAATGGCCACCAAAATCTCTGGATACCAATCCGCTGGACTATTGTGTCTGGAGTAGTTTGGAGATCAAGGTTGTCACAAAAAAATACCAAAGTGTCGATCACCTCAAGCAAACGTTTTACCGGGAATGGGCCAAATACCGCAGAGCAACATTCGGGCAGCGTGTGACGGTTTCATTGCTCGTTTGAAGACCAAAATTCGTGCTAAAGGTGACCAATTCGAACAAATCTAAACTTATTCTAAAATTTGATGCTATTTCCGAATTTTTGAGCTTTCATTCAATAAAATTTAAAATAAAAAAACAATATGTAAAAATTATGGCGTTTGACTTCGTTGTAGTTTTTTCATCTCACCCTGTATTTGTTATTTGTATTTTCGTTTTATAAAGTTGAAGATACAAATAATCTTTTATGCTTAACAAATATTTATTTCATAAATCTTTTTCACATTTCAGAGCAATGTAATGCCGATGTCACCGTTTCATTTAATGCAATACAAATGTACGATGAAACCACATACAGAACAACGCTGCCAACATACACGCCCCCACCCTGGATAGAGCCATATGTCGATCCGACAACACCACGCAATGTGACAGCATTAATGGGAAAGACTGCATATTTGAATTGTCGTGTAATTAATTTGGGAAATAAAACAGTAAGTCATTACCAAAATAGAAATTTCTAGGAATTGAATTTCTACAGAACGATTTTTATAAATACTTGAAGACATTTTATTTTTATCGCCGATTAAATATTCCACGAAAATGTTTTTAAAATTCGTTTTCTCTTTTAAGGTTTCATGGATACGACATCGTGATTCGCATATCCTTACCGTGGGCACATACACCTATACATCGGATTTGCGTTTCCAAGCTTTACATTTTAGCGACATTGGCGATTGGACGCTACAAATCAAATGGGTACAAAAACGTGATGCCGGCACATATGAATGCCAGATATCTACACAGCCAGCCAGGAGTTATTTTATACACTTGAATATTGTGGGTAAGTTTAGAAAGTAATTAGGGATGTCTATATTAATATTAGAATAAAGTACATGACTGACAGACGTAACGATTCATCAACGCACAGGCAAAACGGCTGGAACTTGGAAATAAGATAAGATTTTGGAAATTCGTACTTATGTGCACTAAATGTGGTACAATATAAATTTTGGAAGAACCAATAGAGTTGGAATTTCCTGTCGGAGTGTAGGAGGTTGAAACGATATAGCTGGTATCCTGCATTTTGTAATTAAAGATTGCCATATGTGGGACATTTGGGCGAACCGATATTTTGGAATCCTGATGAATCCCGAATTGGGGTTACAATGGAAGTGTAGGATTGGGATCTAAGCTCTGGAAATCCGTACTTAAGAGTACTAAATGATACTAAATTTAATAAAATTTGGATTTGTATTAACTTATACGGTTGGAATCCTAAAATTTGGAATTAGGATAACAGTATTGAAAAAACTGACTGACTGACCAAGAATTGAGACACAGACGAGACGGCTAAAGCTAAAATCTTGAAATTTTGCACGAGGGTCAGTCATGGTGCGTAGGCTTGTGATAAAGATGGAGTTTTGGAAATTCGTACTAAAAGGATACGAAAAGTACTAAAATGTATTGAAAAACTCATACTTTGTTTTGGACAAACAGAATGAGCTAAAATTCGGAAATTTGGAATGAAAGTCACATTGGAGGTGCAGAATAGATGTACCAAAGTGATCTTGGAAATTCGAACTTTTATGAATAGTTCTATAATGATACTAAACTTCTATAATGGTACCATTTGGTATTATGTGAACGGATAGAGGTAGAAACTAAATATTTAGTATGGGAATAAAGGCTAGAATGCAAGTTTGATATACAGGGTGAAATAAAAAAAAACTGCAACAAAGTCAAACGCCATAATTTTTACATTTATTAATTCTATTGAATGGAAATGTCGGAAATAGTTTCAGATTTTAGAATATGTTTAGATTTGTTCGAATTGGTCACCTTTGGCACGAATTATGGCCTTTAAACGCCACTGAAACCATCACTCGCTGCCCAAATTTTGTTCTGCGGTATTTTGGCCCATTCTCGGCGAAGCGCTTGCTTTAGGTGATCGACACTTTGGTATTTTTTAGTTCCAATCTTGCTTTCCAAAATACTCCAGACACAATAGTCCAACATATTGGTATCCGGAGATTTTGGTGGCTATTGTGCGCTGGAAATGAAGTGAGGAACCTTATTTTGTAACCATTCTGCTCAGTGCGCTGGTGCTGAGTCCTGTTGGAATGTCCAAGGTCTGCGGTCAAAATGTTTGAGTGCCCAAGGCTTCAATACACCCTCCAGAATATTTTCGCGATAATATTCGGCATTTATTCTAAAGCCACGGTCGATTAATACGAGCGGGGAGAGACAGTCGGCTGTTATGGCGGCCCACACCATCACCAAGGCCGGCGCTTGAGTTCTGGTGGCCAACCGAAGGTGCACATTTTCAGCTGACCTCTTTGGCAAGTAAACACGATCACTTTGTTTGTTTATAAACTGCTGGACAATGAATGTTTTCTCAACGGAGAAAACCAAATTCGGCCGTTCACCAATTTCGGCCGAGCGAAGCAACAACGAATGTTTTTTCATCGGAGAAAACAAAATTCAGCAGTTCACCACTTTCGGCCAAGCGAAGCAACTCTTTAGCTTTTTTGAGTCAATTTTCTTTCCGTTGCGGAATAAGTTATTGTACTTTTTGGAATTTCAATGGCTTTATCCCGAGTTCATTTTTTAATATTAGACGAATGGAATATTGCGATATGTTCAGCTCACGAGCCATTTTTCGGCCACTGCGATACGGGTTTCGATCAAGTCGCTTCTTTACTTTTCGAACCATTTCTGCTGATGTTGCTGTTTTCTTCCATGCACTTCCTTGACATCGGACTACGTCACGGTAACGAGCGATTTTACGGGACACAACAGATTTATTCGCATTTAAATGCTAAAGTGCTCTAACGATAGCCACTTATAGTTTTCCAGCCAAATATAAAGAAATCACACTATCACGCTTGAATTGCATTACGAATATCTTTATTTCTGGAAAATTCTCACCAAAATGCTTTTGTTCGCTTGTTAAAAATGTAATGAACTGTCACTGAAATAATTTTAACAGCTGCTGGACGAGTGGCTTAGAAATGACAGCAGTCTGAAATTGGTTGCAGTTTTTTCATCTCACCCTGAATGTAAATAGAATATATCTGACTTATTCTGCCTATAAGTCAAGAACCGGTAGACTGCTTTTCACAATTCACACAATTTAGAATGGTCTGTTGCCAGGAAGGGGTAAAATGTAAGAAAATCGCGTAAAAATATTTTCTAAAGTTTTTCTACACCCCACAACACTATATGTTGAGGGTATTATATACAGGTCGCAATTATGATAAGATCCTCACGAAATTTTCTTTGGGGTATGGTTAGGGTCGGAATTAAAGCCTATTGTTCATTAAGATGTAAATTTAGGGGTTAAAATGGACCAAAAATAAAAAACTAAAATTTTTCTGATATTGAAGTCGCTCTAAATGTCGCAGTTGAAAACCAATCGACCCGTAATTTTGCATGACAAGAGAGTTGAGGACAAGGAAGAAGTCTAGCATTTTAGATATCAATTGGATTATATTTATCTACAAAATGCCCCTCAGCTTTCGAGGGAATTTTTTTTGAATACCTATTTACGCGACGGACTGCGTTAATATTCGCTAAATGCCCCCGATCAAAAAAACAAGGGTAACATCTGGACAGGGCTCTATGACATCATTTCAAAAGCGAAATCTTCCAAATTCGATTTTGATATAAGGGAGTTTTCAGCATATTCTAGTGTTATAGCGTATAACATGGTCGACCACGCGCAACTATACCCTTTGTTTACTTGTTTTGATTTTGGTATATATCTGGGTACATTTTAGCAAATTATTGAGTATAAGTTACGATTTTCCAAACGACATCGCCGAACAGACGGGCCCCTTCAACGTCAGATATAGTAAGCAGATTTGTTAATCTTAGCTCGTTTACCCTGAAAAGAATGAATCTAAAATATGTCTTTGAAGGCATGAAATTTGAAACACTAAATTTAGCGATTGTTGTAACAGACAAAACAAACTTACATGGTTATGTTACTTCGTTCAGGTTGAACGAAAGCATAACAAGTGGAGAAAGATGTAAATGTTTATAAGTGCGGTTGTAAGAATTAGAAGATTTTCCAAAAGAATTTTAGTTTTATGTAATTCTTTTGTTCCTCTTCTATTGAGCTTACGATCTCGTCACTTGGGTAAAAAATGTTTTTTGTCATAGAAGTTATTTTTTAAAATAACTTCTGGGGAGAATATCCCAGACAAGAAACAAGGGAACTGATGAGGATTGGTGGCTCTTTCCGAAACCTAGGTATTCCCTGCCTTACCCCATGGTAAACATTACCATCGTTCTCCACTCATAAACAAACGTTGTTTTTATAAAAACAACAATAATGGGATTTTGCCTGACGATTTTGCAACAACTGATTTCTATGAATTGTATCCAGCCGCCACTGTATTAAAGTTTGATAAGCTTAAAATTTTGGTATTGAAGATCATATTGCATTTTTATACCCTCCACCATACATAGTATGGAGGATATATTAAGTTCGTCATTCCGTTTGTAACTCATTGAAATAAAAATTTTAGATTTTAGCCACATTTTTCAATGGAATTGTCTGAAATTCTACACAAGGAGTAATTTGTGAGTACTTTACCCCCTGATAGAGAATTGTTTATATAGGTCCACGATATCGTATATCCCCCATACAACGTTACCCCCGATATTCGGTATTTGGATGATTTTAGCCACATTTTTCAACGGATTTGTCTGAAAAATCATACAAGGATTTCCTTGTGTGTACCTTATCCCCTAGAAGAGAATTGTCTATATAGGTCCACGATATCGTATAATACCCATACATCGGCACCTCCCGATATTCGGTATTTTGAAGATTTTAGCCACATTTTTCAATGGAATTATCTGAAAATCCACACATGAAGTGCCTTCCGAGGACTTTATCCCCTGGAAGAGAATTATCTATATATGTCCACGATATCGTATGGTCCCCATATTTTACCAAGTTTTTCAACCCCACACAAGGGGTTACTTCTGAATATTTTACCCCTCAGAAGAGAATTGTCGAAATTGGTCCACGTTTTAGTATAGAGCCCATATAACGGTATATTCGGTATTTTCATAATTCAAATTTCAAGTTTCGTATATAAAGTTCGGAACCGTTACTACAGCCTATGACACAAATTACTTACGCAGAACCAAGTCGCTGTATAGCCCCCCATATAAGGGTTTTCATTCGAGCGGTATTTTTTGACAGATTTTTTTTTTTTTTGAAATTGTTCAAGTTTCTTCCAAATGGTGGAGGGTATAAAAAGTTCGGCTCGGCCTTATTTTAGCTCATTTTTTACTTGTTTGTTCATTTATTTTGTATTTCGAAAAGAGCTCATGAATTTTTCACAGTATTTTTCTAACAGTTTACAGACTCGAAATTCAAATATAAGCCGTAAATAAATAGCAGAACAATGTTTTCCTTTACACAAAAACTATCTTCTTGTGTGCCTTCTTTTTTAAACTTTTTTTCAGTGATAAAGGAACAAAGTTTTATTTCTCTGACAGCAACTGGCTCTAACTTAAATTTATGTAGTACCCATATAACGATTACCGTCTGGTCAAACCAGAAAAAATTCAATTGAATTTATCTATGAAATATTTTACGGAATTTATTACATCTTTAAATATTTATAACCCTTAGCAGACAAAACAAGAAAACACCAAAATAGACTTAACAATTTTTTTGATATACCAACAAATTCCCATAAAATTTTTCTTACTTTTCTTTTCTATGTACGTTCGCTATGCTAATTTCGGCATCTAAAATGGACTGTTGAATGAAATATCAAAAAAAAAACAAAAAAAAAAAAAATAACAACAAAACATCAACAACAACATCCCAACGTAAACATCGTTTCAACCATAATGTGTTAACAGTGCCAACGGCCAGCATCTATGGCGGTCCTGACCTTTATGTCGACAAAGGTAGCACCATAAATCTTACATGCACCGTGAAATTTTGCCTTGAGCCACCTGCCTACGTATTTTGGTATCATCACGAAGAGGTAATTTATGTTTACGTATTTATTCACTCTCCTTTTTTTATATCTGACCTATTGTAATGCCATTATCGTAATCATCATCAACAAGAGAGATTTTTTTTAAACAATATTATTCGATTAAAAGTGATACTTTGTTTTGGGTAGAGATAATATCTGAGGGTATTGAAATGTGATATTGGCGAAATTTTTATAACCTTCTTGGGAACAATAAATTGGTTTTAGTTCAAAAGTTTGTTATTTATTTAGCTAAAAAATATCGTCCGTATCTCACACTGCTTGTGTCTTTCATTTTCAGTTTCAACAAATCTTATATTAACTCAGCCCCCCATACAATGTGACATACATACAGATGTTAGATATATTAAGTTCCAACAAAAGTCGTAGGTTTTGAAGACTGGTCATAATCCCCCTATTATACTGTCAAATTTGCATTATTTTGAAGATTCTAGACAAAGTATGGTCTGTTAGCACAAAAAATTAATTACTTAATTTACATACCCTCCACCATGGTATGGAGGGTATATTAAGTTTGTTTGTAATATCTCGAAATATGCATTTTAGACCCCACATAGTATATAATTCTTGATCACCATAAAATTCTATGTCGATTTAGCAATGTCTGTCCTTCTGTGGAAATTACTTTAGCTTCCGAACGAAATGAAGTAAGTTGATAAAAATTTACCCGAATGTGTATTATATCTGCAGGACTTTTGGTATTAAAAATGGGCCATGTAGGTCCACCTCGAATAGGCCTCATATAACGGTACCTCCCGATATGCGGTATTTTGATGATTTGAGCGACATTATTTACCTGAATTGTTCCAAATTTTATATTTGAAGTTCGTAATAGATACTACATCATGAAACATAAAATAGGCCATGTAGGTCCACATCTTCGTATAGCCCCCTTATAACGGTACCTACCGATATTGGCTATTTTGATGATTTTAGAGACATTATTTACCGGAGCTATTTCAAATTTGGTATTTGAAGTTCGTAATGAATACTACAGCCTATGACTGAAAATTCTCTGAGCAGTTCCACGTCTTCGTATAGCCCCCTTATAACGGTACCTACCGATATTGGGTATTTTGATGATTTTAGAGACATTATTTGCCGGAATTGTTTCAAATTTTTATTTGAAGTTCGCAATGGATACTACAGCCAAAAAAATTGTCTGTGCAGGTCCACGTTTTATAACCCCCATGGTGCCTCCCTATATTCGGTATTTTGATGGTTTAAGCTACATTATAAACAGATTTTTTTTCAAGTTTCGCATTTGAATATAGTAATAGCTTATGACAAAAGTTGCCTATGCAGGTTCCCGTCGGCGTATAGACCCTAATATACGGCTACGGCTAATTTTTAACGGATTTTATTTTTTTGAAAATTGCCAAATTTGTACCAAATGGTGGAAGGTATTCAAAGATCGGCCCGGCTGAACTTACAGCTTTTTACTTGTTTAGCCTTCAAAGGTTTATTTTTATACCCTGAAATCACGAAACATCCACCATTATTTGACGTAGAGCTTCAAAATTTGGTAGAACAATTTGTATTGTGTCTAGGATGGTTGGTATTGCAAATGGGATATATCGGTCCACGTTTTGGTATATCCGCTATATATCGATACCTCACGATATTAGGTATTTTTATGATTTTTCCACGGATTTGTCTAAAAAATGGTATTAGTAGGTCATAATAGATTCTGGCTCCGGCGGCGAAATATTGTATGTATAGGTCCACCTTTTTATATAGCCCCCATACAACGGAACCTCCCGATATTCGGTATTTTGATGATTTTTACCATATTTTTTGAAGGATTGGTGTAAAAATAGGTAATTGCTGATCATAATGGATGCTAGCTCCGATGGCGAAACAATGTAGGTATAGATCGACGTTTTTGTATAACCCCATATAACGGTTTCTCCCGATGTTCAATATTTTGATGATTTTTGAAATATTTTTTCAAGGATTTGTCTAAAAATTGGTATTTATATTATATAATAAGTTCTAGCTCCGGTGACAGAACATTGAATATTTAGGTCCACATTTTTTTATAGCGCACATATAACGATATCCACCGATATTAGGCGTTTTGTTAATCCTATTTACATTTACCCACGAAATTTTTTAAAATTTGGTATTTATGAAGATTTTGTAGATGACAATCTTTGAAGTATAAAATTGTCTATGGAGGTTTCCGTTTTGGTATGGTCCCCATATAACGGCCTTACCCACTTTATGCTGTTTTGAAAGGAAATGGTCTCACTGTAGTTTAAAGTGGAACACGTTTGAATACAGATACTTTTATAAACAGTTGTTTTCTTTGCCGAAAGTTTTAGGGTATTAAAGGTTCGGCCTGGTCGAAATTTATCTTTTTTTACTTGTTTTTTCCTGAATTTGGTTGAATATGGCATTACAGATTCACCGTCATATTGACTACACCATCCCATTACTTTCATTTCCACACGCCCCAAATGTACATACACGATAATTAACAAAGTATCGTCAAAGAAACTTTATTAAGAGTTTTGATGCCTTTTACAATTACAGCTCATTAATTATGACTCGACCAGAGGTGGTGTTTCGGTGGTTACCGAGAAAGGCGATATAACAACATCGTATTTGCTTTTGCAAAATGCCGATTTGGCCGATTCCGGAAAGTATTCATGTGCTCCGTCAAATGCAGAAATGACTAGCATACGTGTGCATGTACTCAGTGGTAAGTTTTCGATACTTTATTCATGAAAAGAAAAAAAACTTTATATCGCAACTCATTTAACTTTAACACCAAATTTCATGGGAAATCAGTTATGACCACCGGGTATTGATATGTGGTATTATGTTGCATTATATAGAATTAGTCAATTTTGTTCGTACTGCTCAAGAAATATACTGTGTAGTAAATATGTGTAAGCTTTAACTGTAGTGCAGGCTGGATATGATTTACAAGTATTTCACATAACATTAATAAGATAAAATTAAAATCATAACGCAGTAGTCATTGAAAGGGGGCGAATATTAAAAAAATAACAAGTAAATCCTTTAGGTTTTGTACTCAAGTGGTGTCATTAAATATGTTTTTATACCCTCCACCATACTATGGATGGTATATTAATTTTGATATTCCGTTTGTTACTCCTTGAAATACTCATGTCAGACCCAACAAAGTATATATATATTCTTGATCAGCGTAAAATTCTAAGACGATTTAGCCATGTCCGTCTGTCTATTCGTCTGTTTGTCCGTCTGTCTGTTGAAATCACGAAATCAATCTTTCGAACGAATTGAGATAGAAGGTTAACATTTTGCACACATGTATATTTTGCCAGTAGGCAAGTTAAGTTCGTAAATGGGTCCACGTTATCATATAGCCTCCATATAACGGTACCTACCGATATTCGGTATTTTGATTATTTTAGAGACATTATTCACCGGAATTGTTTCAACTTTGGTATTTAAAGTTCGAAATGGATACTACAGCCTATAACAGGTGCAGGTCCACGTCTTCGTATAGCACCCATATAACGGTACCTCCCGATATTCGGTATTTCGATGATTTTTGCGACATTATAAACTGGAATTGTTTCGAATTTGCTATTTGGAGTTCTTAATGAATACTACAGCCTAAGATAGAAAACTGTCTGTGCAGGTCCCCTTCCGATATTCGGTATTTTGATGATGTTAACGACATTATTCACCGGAATTGTGTCAAATTTAGTATTTAAAGTTCGCAATGAATGCTAAATCCTAAGACAGAGAATTGTTTGTGCAGGTTCACGGCTTCGTATAGCCCCTATATAATGGTACCTCCCGATAATCGATATTTTGATGACTGTAGCTACATTATTCACCGATTTCTTTTTTTAAGTTTGGCATTTGAATATGGTAATGGTTTATGAAAAAAATTACCTATGCAGGTCCATGTCGTCGTATTGACCCTAATATAACGGCTACATTCGGTATTTCTACGATTTTAACGGATTTTATTGTTTTTGAGAATTGCCAAATTCGTTCTAAATGGTGGAGGGTATTCAAAGTTCTGGCCGGCCGAACTTGCAGCTTTATTACTTGTTTTTTTTTTTGTTACGAAATTATAGTAATGGTGATTTCATGAAAATACATTTTATCAACATTTTAAAATATTATTTTAATTTCCCATTGGTACACCAGAGGACATAATTATTGTCTCCCTGATTTTTTCAAAACACAGTCGAATACTTTATACATTTATAATCTAGGAGGATTATTTGAAACAAAAGACCTGATAATCACAACATTTGATTTTAAATTAATTATTTATTATTATGAACACCTAAAAAAACGAAAATTGGGGAATGTGTAGTCCAATTATGTATTCCAAAACCATAAGAAAATTCCTTAGTTTTAGTCGCATCCACATAATGGTATAAATTATTGTGTTGTCGCCACGTTTGACATGTGATTTGACAAGCTGAACCCCGGTGCGCTTCAAAACTTATTTTCTGATCGTGTTTGCTGCTTCAAATAAACGAAATCGGTCAAAAATATATATGGGAGCTATATCCAAATCTGTACCGATTTCAATATAATTTGGCAAATTTATTTTTGTACCAAATTTAGACACTCATGCCGAATTTCATGTGAAATCGGCCGAAAATATATATAGGAGATGTATCCAAATCTAAACCGATTTCAATATAATTTGACAAATTTATTTTCTGATCAAATCCCCTCACTTACTCCAAATTTCGTTAAAATAGAACATACATATCATGTTTGGTACATCAAATAAACGAAATCGGTCGACAATATATGTGGGAGTTATATCCAAATCTGTACCGATTTCAATATAATTTGACAAATTTATTTTTGTACCAAATTTAGTCACTCATGCCGAATTTCATTGGAATCGGGCATACGTATCGTTTTTGGTGCATCAAATGTGTGAAATCGCCCGAAAATATATATGGGAGCTATATCCAAATCTGGACCGATTTCAATATAATTTGGCAAATGTATGTTTTTTTTTTTAAATTCCGTTACACATATCAAATGTTATTGAAGGCAGAGATACATGGCGTGTTTGGTGCATCAAATACATGAAATCAGTCGAAAATGTATAAGGGAGCTATATCCAAATCTAGACCGATTTCAATATAATTTGGTAAATTTATTTATTTCCTTTACACGTTCCAAATTTGGGGACTGTACCTGTAATCAATCAATAGATATATGCATATAAAATCTAAATTTTTGGGAGGTAACTCCGATTCTGATGCTATACCTTCAGTTCCAAGTACATTCAGGAGATGTTGTAGAATACACGGAAATTTTCAAGAAAATCAGTGCATGCAAACATTTTTCTTTTTTATAGATGTAGATATGTCCCTCCTACACACTAGCTTGCAGATAAGTTCCACGTTTTGTATAGTTCGGATCGGGATTTAGCATAGGGCTAGAGTTTTGGGCTGGGGAAAAGCATTAAATTTGGTTCGGTCATCGGACAATATTTAGCGCTTAAAATCGACCATAACATTTGTGTAAAAAAATACGAAAATTTCCACAAAACCGAGAATATTTTTAATCCCAGCGAAATCACAAATACATTAAAATGTCACTTTTGACCGTTACAGAGATACTGATAGCCAAGATATCGGGTATATAGCAAAACAGGAGCAATCTATGTTTGCCAAGATTTTTTTTGCATGCGATTTTTTCATATTTGACATACAATTTTGATTTGTACATTTTTTAATATTTTTACACCCTGCAACACTATTTGTTGAGGGTATTATATTCATGTCGCAATTATCGTCCGATTCCCACGAAATATTGCATGGAGGTTAGGGTCAGAATAGAATCCTATTGTTTTAAAAATGTATATTTAGTGGTTCAAAAGGACCAAAACATTAAAATTTTAGGGTATCACATGGTTGGCCCCGCACGACTATAGCCTTTGCTTACTTGTTTTTTTATATAAAAATGTCAACAAAAATTCATAATGTGTTATGGTCATCATTTCATGGATCCTACCGATTGCAGGTTCAGGATTTGGAATTTAAAGCATAGCTAGCTTAGCTTTTGGCTCATGCATAAAGCTAGATGATCTACAAATAAACGAAATCGCATTTTGCCTGTATCTAACCGGAAGTATTAACTCGAACAACTCTTGTTTACAAGGACTGCTCTAACGACCTGTCTAAAGGCTAATTGGTAGATATTGCTGTAATTTATCATCTTTTTCGCGGTCCTTTGTCTGAGGACATTTGTTAGGAGACAAGGTCTGACAGACGAACCGGCGATGGTTCGATTAGTGTGTTCTGGCATCCAACTCCTTTGAGATATGGAACTTTAAATATTGTGGCATTGTTGTTCTCACACAAGTCATAGTGGGAAAAAACCCAAAATATTCTCTACCCAAGCGTCAAAGAAGAAGAATTCCAGTCAAAGACTTTCGTTTTCTTTTTCGTCAAAGGAATTAGAGGTTCAACATTTGAGCAATATATGCTGATCATCGGTATGAGATTGAGAATGAGAACGACAAACAACTATAATATTTTAAACAAATAAAAGTGTTCACATGAAACGTACACACCGTTTTTTATTCCCATCATTACATACAATAATATTTTTTTTTTCAATTTCAAATTATAACACATAAATGGTGATTGCACAAGTTATATCATTAATCTGCCATCAGTACACCGACTTTAAGATATGTATATATGTATGTAGGTGGTGAATATGTTTTAATACTAAGGTGTTCATTACATTTTACTGCCAAATAACTAAAGTTGGTAACAACAACCAACAACACATCTTAAGAACTTTAAATACAACGTTTAATTTCCCCAGAGATAAAGGCAAAGTTTTGAAGCTCTTATTAAGTTGGTTCATTTCGATAGTCTGTTATCATAGACCTATTAAAATTTGCGATGAATATAAAATGGGGGAAAGTTTATAAAGAGAAAAATTTATTTTAATTTTTTATCAGCGCTAAATGAATGTAAAAAAAACTGGAAATATATATATATTTTCCACACCAAAATCCCAAAATTTTCTGTTACCGGTTTATTATTTCTAAATGTTGTTTTATGAACCAAAGAATCCAAACAATAAAGGGTAAGAAAATTAGAAAATGTTGGCGAAAATTGAATCTGCTTGAACTGCTACTGAGTGTATATATAACTTTTGATGTTGCCAAACGTGTTCCTCGAAACAACGGTTATAGGCCTTAAATGGCCAAATCCGTTTCAAAACATATGGGTTCGATCTAGGGGTGTCCGTTTGTACATATCTCCGTCTGTCTGGCTGGTGCACACGATAACTTTCGAAGGAAGTATCCGATTTGGCCCAAACCTGGTACATCGTAATCTTATTGTCAAACATAGATCGTGTTCGGAGATGGTCAGTATCGGTTATCTCCTTAAGGTACTTACCTCACAAAGGTAGGAATTTTCAAAAAAAAAAATTATACTCCAAAGAAAGAGAAAGGAACACCCTATTTTGCTCCAATTTTGCAAATTCTAATATTTGCATCAGTGATAGGTCAAGTGCAAAAATGGACAATATCGAGCAATTCCATCAAGTACCTCCCCCACAACGGGTGAAAATTTTGAATAATCAACTTCGCATATCCAAATACTTCTGAAAATACAAGATCAGGTGTCTGGTACCTCCCTTTGTATGGGCCATCATTTCCAATAACCAAATCGCTAATAGAAAGGGAAATTATCATCCGTTTCCTTTTAAATTTTACAGATCTCTATATTTATTTTAACATAAGATCTGCTGTGAAGATACTCCATCTTCACTTTTTCCAGTTTTTTCTGGCACCTTCCATACAAAGGGTCAGTAATTTGAATAGCCTTTAAGCTCATAAAACGCGAGATGAACATCCGACCAATTTTCAAACTCGGCATATCCCAATATTTCTATGGTACATTCTACCCGCTGTCCTAAACTCTAACTTCATGCGAGATTTTGTGTTCTTTGGTTTCTATTTGTGACCTTTATAACGACATCAAAATCAGGAATATTATTAGTTGTTGGTCCATTTCAACCCCTATATATTGCGGACATCTTTAAAAGCAATAGGCCTAGCCCTTCCGAGTCTAACCCTACACTTACGAAAATTTTCGTGAGGAGCAATCTGCATATAATAACCCCAACCTGTGTTGTAAGGCGAAGAAATATTTCAAAATATCCACTCCATATGTGGGAAACCAATATTTCAAGGTGTTACATAATTTTTGGCCCAATCAAACTTATAATACCCCCAACACATAGTGTTGTAGGGTAAAGTGACTAGAAGTGTCACCACCTATACAATATTGAGAGTTGGTTAAGGGCAACATTGGAAAAATTTGTCCCGAAAACACTACAAATTCGCGACTTTAGAGTCCTGATATAGTCCACTTCTTCTTCTTCTTTTTGAAAATGTTTAAATTTCAATTGTATATTAAGGCCATGTCGGGGATCCCTTCGCGCTACATGGCATGCAAAAAATATACCCGCAATGATCATCTGCGTGACGCTGTGAGTACTGTCAGATGGATATGGCTAAAATAACTTCCAAAATGGGCAGGACTTGATACTCAATACTTACTGCATTTATTACCAATATTTTAGTCCAAAACATATCTACACTTAAATAGTAAGATAAAATGTGCGAATGTATATTTTTTACCTCCAAATTTCAATACAATCGCTTTGTTAATTACACCAAATGTTTCACATTAACACAATTGTTTTCTCTTTTTTTATTATTTTTGCTTATTGCAGGTGAGCATCCCGAAGCAATGCAAACAGGGTCATCTGGCAATCAACATTCGTGGCTAACTATAATTATTTTAATAACTCACATTTTGTTTTGCAAACAGCATTCAATGAGTTGCATTAAAACCGCTAAACAGCGCAACGATGCCCACGCCACCATGACAAAACAACAAATTTACCAACGATCTACGACAACTACAACAGCAACCACAGCAACAGAGCTAACGGAGGGCTTTAAGACCGCAGAATTACTAAATTACCCGCAATGTTGTTGTGCATTACACCGTGAAAGGATTTTATGCTGACGGCATTGCCAGAGGTGCGACCCCCCACAGGGAAACCTTACTTTAGATTTGTTATTTTTTTATTATTAAAGGAAAATAGGTGTTAAGTGGTTTTTAATTTTTCATCGAAATAATTTGTTTGTGATAATCTGGTATGAATGGAAAAAAATCCTTGTATTTAAGCTACCATATAAGCTCTCACACATACATGCATATCCACAATAAATGTATGTATGTACGGAAAATCGTAAATATAAAACCGGCAAATAACGCCATAAATAATATCTTTGTATGTATTGAATGTATAACTTTTTATTCGAACGAAATAATTGAAGGTTGATGTTGTGTCGTCTAACAATCAAATGACAATGTCACGTAACTTTGTATTGTAAATATGTAGTATGGAAGTAACATCGTCTTTTTTCACAAATTATATCCGTAATATTATGTATGTATTTTATAAGTATGTAAATATGTTGCGTGTTGCGAAAATAAAGCAAAGAAACAAGTTTCGAAATTAATTAACGCCAAAAATGAAATTGAGTTTTAATTCCGTAATTTAAAAAAAAGGTAAGAGCAAAAGATGGTGTAAAACAAATATTTTAGTAAAATGGGCTGTATTTTACAACCAGTAAAGAAAGTTTTAAAGTCGGGCAGGGCCGACTTTATGATACCCTACACCACTTTGCTAATTTAGTAGAGCTCCACATAACAATTAAAAGTTTTTATGCGAGAATTCAATCATACACGCTATGATTATAATTATAATTTAAAGTTCAAAAGACTAAATATGCCGAAGCATTTGTATCTTTTAAATTCGGACTTGTATTGCCCATTTGGTGCAAAATTAATTTGAAATCACATATATGGCAACTATATCCAATATCTGAACCGATCTCGATAAAATTTAGCAAATATATTTCTGAGCTGTATTTCTTATATTCCCTGAATATCGTTGTTAAGGAATGCATATTACGGCTGTGGGTAACAAATATAACAAATCGGATGAACAATATATATGGGAGCCATAACTATATCTGAACCGATCTTCACCAAATTTGACATACTAGCTAGACTCAATTCGGTCGTAAGTGCCAAATTTCATCCCATTTGGACAAATATTTGACTTTTGGTGCACAATAAAAGGTAAATCGGACGAAGTTATATAAGGGAGATATATCCAAATCCGAACCGATCTCGATAAAATTTAGCAAAGGTATTTCTGAGTTGTGTTTGAAATATTTCCCCAATTATTGTTGTTACAGAGTGCATATTACGGCTGCGGAAGACTAAAATAACAAATCGGATGAACAATATATATTGGAGCTATAGCTATATCTGAACCGATCGATCAAATGTGGCATACTTATTTTCAGGCCTAATTTGGTTGTATGTGCAAAATTCCATACTATTCGGGCTGATAGTACACGTTTGGTGCACAATAAAAGGCAAATCGGACGAAGATATATATGGGAGCTATATCTAAATTTTGACCGATTATCTCCAATTTCAATAGGGTTCGTTCTTGGGCCAAACAAATGATTTGTGAAAATTTTCATCTGGATAGGGTAATAAATGCGAACTGTACTTTGTTCACAAAATACATGGACAGACGGACGGGCGGACGGACGGACAGACATGCATAAATCGACTCAGAATGTGATGCTATGCAGATCATCAAAAGGAACTATGGGTCTATCTCGATTCCTTTTGCCTGTTACAAACAAATGCACAAAGACATAATACCCTGACCACCTTGTGGTGTAGGGTATAAAAATCAAGATCTGAAGAAAAAATTGGGAAAATTCTATCAGTTCTCTTCTGCTAAAAACTCCACAATGAAAACACTGAGCAGAGCAGGAATATATTGCATGGAGTTTTCTATTCCGAAAGAATTGAAACGCAATTTAAAGCCTGGTTACGTCTTGTATTTGATACAGACTAGGTTAATTAGATATTTATTCAATGCTGGTCTTATCGGTCCACGTTGTTGCAAAGTTCTTATTGGGTTTAAAGTGGTACCTCTAATATTTATGCAACAGAGAGAGAGAGAATACATCGTTTGAAATAATAACCAGTAAGGAAAGAGATCGATATAAGAAGGACCATATTGGACCATCTTTTTCTAGTACCTCCCCGCTCCAAGAATTTGAAGTGTCTGCCTTCCTTAAATCTCCTTCAGCCAATAAAACTTTTTAAAACAAAATCTGGGAATTTTTTTTAACAAAATAATGGTAGAAAAGGCTGTTTTTTAGAATTAAATTCCCATTGCGAAACATTCATCTTTTTTACTTTATCGGCTGCTGGTATTGAATTTGCAACCTTATGATTAGAATTTAAACACATTACACACTCTGTCACGTTTACGAACATTGGGGTTTATTTCTAAATCAAAATCTTATTTAAATATGTTTTTTTTTTTATTTGTTGAAGCCAAGCTCCTTGAGCTCCTTGCCTTCAGTTTTAAGTCGACGCGGAAACTCTGCACCAATTATAAAATTCCTCTCAAATAGAAACCTTTTAATGGGGGCTAGAAGAAGACATGGTCCTACAACGAACTTCAAATACGAATTTGGAAACAATTACGGTGAATAATGTAGCTAATGTAATCAAATTACAAACAATTCCGTTACATAAATATCGCTTAAAGCATTAAAATACCGAAAAGTTAAAGCGGGCTATATGACCGGTGGACCTTTATAGACAATTTTCTGTCTGCAACGTGGACCGGCATAGCCCATTTACGAGCTTAACCTGCCTACTATGCACAATTTCCGCCTTCTATCCCAATTCGAATAGACATGCGGACATCACTAGACTTTACGCTGATCAAGAATTTACAGGGTGAGATAAAAAAACTGCAACAAAGTCAAACGGCATAATTTTTATATTTTTTTTTTTTAAATTTTATTGAATGAAAGCAAAAAATGTCGGAAATAGCATCAAATTTAAGAATAAGTTTAGATTTGTTCGAATTGGTCACCTTTGGCACGAATTATGGCCTTCAAACGGCCAATGAAACCGTTACAGGCTGCCCGAATGTTGTTTTGCGGTATTTTGGCCCATTCCCGGCGAAGGGCTTGTGCGCTTGAAATGAAGCGAAGAACCCCATTTTTGGGTGTCGCGTGCTGAGTGCGGTGGCGTCGAGTCCTGTTGAAATGCCCAAGGTCTGCGGCCACCCCCAGAATATTTTCGCGATAATATTCGGCATTTATTCTGATGCCACGGTCGATTAATACGAGCGGAGATCGACCATCGGCTGTTTGTACCCCACACAACAAGGTGGTCAGGGAATTATGTCTTCGTGCATTTGTTTGTGACAGGCAAAAGAAAACGAGATAGATATATAGTTCCTTTTGATGATCTGCATGGAATCACATTCTGAGTCGATTTATGCATATCCGCCCGTCTGTAGCTCCCACATATATTGTTCATCCGATTTGTTATTTTTGTCCTCCGCAGCCGTAATATGCACTCTGTAACAACAATATTTGGAGAAATGTATCAAATAGAGCTCAGAAATACTTTTGTTAAATTTTATCAAGATCGGTTCAAATTTGGATATATCTTCCATATATAACTTCGTCTGATATATCTTTTATTGTGCACCAAACGTCTAATATTGGCCCAAATGGGATGAAATTTGGCACTTACGATCGAATTGAGTGTAGAGTCAAATTTGGTGAAGATCGGTTCAGATATAGCTATACCTCCCATTGTTCATCCGATTTTTTATATTTGTTATCCACAACCGTAATATGCACTCCGTAACGACTATATTCAGGGAAATATATGAAATACAGCTCAGAAATATCTTTGCCAAATTTTATCAAGATCGCTTTAGATTTGGATATAGCTCCCATGTATATCAAATAGGCAATACAAGTCCGAATTTAAAAGATGCAAATGCTTCGGCATATTTAGTCTTTTGAACTTTAAATTATAATTATAATCATGGCGTTTATGATTGAATTCTCCCATGAAAATTTTTATATGTTATGTGGAGAGTTCCTTGCCGTCCAATGCCTACTGGTGAAACACTGCGATGTTTAGCCGCTCGCCTCGAAGAGACTGGCATAACAAAAGATGCTGCCAGGCGTGGCAGACCCCGGAGAATCCGTTCTGCAGAGAATATGCTGCTGTAGATCAGGATATCATGGAAGGGCAGCTGGTAGCTGCTGACCGCTAATTGCGTCTAACATACGCTCAAGCCATTCTTAATCACCACCAAGAAAAATATGATTTTTCGTCAAAAAAAAAATCATGAGTGATAAGGCCCATTTCCATCCTAGCGGGTAGGTAAATAAGCAAAATGTATGTTTCTGTGGCACTGAAAATCCGCGTAGCAAAATGTATGTTTCTGTGGCACTGAAAATCCGCGTGTAACCCCCGAAGAGCCATTACACCCTCTCAAAATCACTGTATGGTGTTCTATTTTCGCTGGAAGAGTTATCGGACCTTTTTTCTTCGAAGAAATCGCGGGCAAAACGGTTACTGTGAATGTGAGCGCAACAAAGCAATGACCAACGGCTTCTTTTTGCAGAAACTTGCTAAGTTGGGATTGGGAAATATGTGATTCCAACAGGACGGTTCAACAGCATACACTGCACGTGTCACAATCAATATGCTGAAGAATGCATTTTCCCAGGTGTCTAATCTCCCGCTTTGGTGATTTGCACTCTCCAGCAAGATTGTCTTATTTGGCCGCTCCAAACTTTTTTTTTTTTTTTTTTTTTTTTTTGAAGTTGCAGGTTTATGTCGACAAGCCTCAAACCCTTTCAGCTCTTAAAAACAATATCCGTTACGAATGTTTGGACCTATCGCCGGAAGTTTTGGACAAAGTGTTAGAAAGTGCCATAAAAAGGGCTCAAATGACAATATACTGTAGCAGCGGCCATTTACATGACATCATATTCTATTCTCGATGTGAGATAAAAAGAAAAAACGAAAAGATCAAATAAAAATAATCCGACAAGAAAAACCCCACGTTTATCATTTTTTTTAATAACAGCCAACAAACATCGCAAGTTTCCTTTTGCGCCACGTTGCATTACAATATACCAGTTCGTTCGGATATGTTTATGAAAATCATCATACTTTTTAATGTACATTTTATTAATTATTATATGTCATACATACTAAATTTGTGGCTAGTTCGATTTGGTCATCAATCTAGATATATTAAAACCTAATTATTGTATGATTCACCATGCTAAACCTCACGTCTTTATATCAAAAGCTTTGTTCGTTTAAAATTTTAACATTCCAGCTTCCGCTGTTTATAAATCTTGAAGTCAGTCAATCAACTAACTCTTTCATATGCAAATAAACACTCTGTTGCATATCTCAAAACTTTCCTGATCTTCAAACCAAACACAACATACTCTTGTTCGTATCAAACCAGTATATCCCACTGTGGAACATTTCATCGAATTATGGATATTTAAGAAGGGATATTTTCGCACATAAAATATTCGAATACAAAAGTACATTTCAAGAGAAACATATCTAGCATAGCTCTTTA